CTGCTCTCCCTGCGGCTCGGTCCCCCTCCAACTGCCCTCCCTCCCCTGCCGGCCATCTTGTGTGAGGGTGTGACGGTCAACTTGCATATTACCTCTTTATTATATAGGATTATTCTTTCCAGATGAACTATTAAACACTAAATTCTTATCTCATAAAAATAGCACCTTTGAAAGGGGCAATTTCCACTCAGCCTTTGGTGGCATTATTCTAAGCTATTTCTTTCAACTTTCAAAATGTTCACTTTTTAAAAAATATATTTTATTGATTTTTTACAGAGAGGAAGGGAGAGGGATAGAGAGTTAGAAATATCGATGAGAGAGAAACATCGACCAGCTGCCTCCTGCACACCCCCTACTGGGGATGTGCCCGCAACCAAGGTACATGCCCTTGACTGGAATCGAACCTGGGACCCTTCAGTCCACAGGCCGACGCTCTATCCACTGAGCCAAACCAGTTAGGGCTTAAAATTTTCACTTTTAAGATGAAGTCTTTCCACCAAAAAGTATGGTCACATTTTGTTTTCTACTGACTACATATATAGATGATGGCAGCGAGCAAGAAAAGAATAAAATTAAAAGGCAGCCATTAAAATAAATGAATCAATTGTGTAGAAGAAACATTTGATCATGGCAGTTAACCAATAAAAGGGGGGAGGGGGCAATTAGGGCATGTTAATAGCCAGATGTTTGAGTCATTAGTGAATATATTGAGTATGAAGTTGGTCCTATATGACCAAGTGGGAATATATCATTATCATTGCACTCCATTCTTTACATCAAATACTCTAAGCCAGTAGGAAATAAGAGTTATATTTAGAGTCCCAATTAGAACATGCTGGCATTTAACATTTTCAACAATTTGCTGGGTTTGGTATAGTCATTTCCTTTAGTCACACTATTTTATGAAACCTTTCCTATTAATCTTAAGTGTATGACATATTTGTTAAATGACAAGACTTTCCTAAGGTACCGTTGAAATGGTATGAGAAGAATACCCATTTGTTTTGCCTGGGGAGATGGAAAATGCAGTTTCTCAGTGGGAAAAAGCTCAACTGTCTTCTTCCCACCACCTCTGCCACATACGATTTCCCGAACACCTCACTTCCCAGCTTGTTCTCCATGTGGGGTTAAAAATGCAAGAAATACTAACACGTAAGCAATGGTCCAGATATTCAAAAATCACGTTAATTCAATTACTGTATATGAGATTTTCATTGATGAGGAGGGCTTTGGACGTACCAAATTATCACACAAATAACTGCTTTTTGGGACCTTGGATGTTTTTATAGTTTAATATTGTATTATTTTCCATAAGAACAATTGTAGACCTAATTTTGCCTACTCTGTATTTAATCTTTGACTAAAATATTTTAGTACCTTTCTAGTAAAATATTTTGCTAACATTAAGTATGTATGGTTTAATTATATATATTCCCTTCTTCACCAGCTATCTCCAAGGAGAAAAAAATGACTAACTCTACCCTTCATTGTCACTAGATGTTTTTGTTTGTTTGTTTGAAATCTCTCCACTTTTATTTTTTTTAATCTTTATTGTTGAAAGTATTAAAGATGTCTCTCCCCCCCGACCCTCATTGACCCCTTCTAACCTACTCCCACCATCAGTAGATGTTTTAATAAACATTTGGGAAATAGTAATTTTATTATACCACTTGACAGTGGTTAGAGGAATTGGTTATATTCATACATATATTCCTAGCTCCTTCGTTTAATTATAGGGAAAGTGACATGTGACTAACGTTTGCCTTACTTAGAGAATATGCACAGTTAATTTTAGATTGGGGCTGGAAACTAAAAAATAAGTCCGTTTGAAAAGGAAAGATGTGTGGGTTTTGGAGGTTCAGACTTACACTGGGTTTCCCAGGTGCATTGTGAATTGCTAGCACCTGTATGCAACGTACCAAACAGTTGTGACATATTTGAATTTTTATACAACACCCTCTGAATGGTTTCCTTGCCTCAGGTTATGTATTTGCTTCTGAGCATCCTGCCTGTACCTGACCTGCGTTCCTCTTCCTGAGGCATTCTTTCCAAAGGCTTTGGACCTGAAGCTGGAAACTCTGAATCTGAGTTCTAGTTCTTGACACCTACAAATATGTGACCCCGATGTCACTTAACATTGACTTAACCACAATTTCCTAATTAGAGAAAAGGGGATAATGAAAAAGGGTTTTAAAAAATGCAACAAATTCCTCTATAAACGTTAGCTATTTTTTGTCATCCTTCTTTCTAAAATCTGCAATGATTTCTGATTGCTACAGAATAAAGTTGAAAATCCCTAGCAAGTCCTTGAAGGTTCTATTTCAGAAGAATGTTTGGACTGAGTAGATGCCTCCACGTGCGCAGTGTGTTCTGCTTCCACAGTTTTGCTCATTGCACCTACCTACGCCATGCCATGCTATCCAATTACTCTTTTGTGCCTTTCCAAACCCTGTTTAAAAATTTTGTTTAAATTGCAGTTCTTTGAAGAATTTCTAGACCTACATTCTAGAAGAGAGTTTTTCTTACAAAATGTGTTTGTATATCACAAGTATTAGATTAAACCATATGAAATTGCCATTTTTATAGGTTGGAAATGGTCAAATAACTGCACTTTCAAATGGTTCATAGATATTAAGCACTTCCTAATGTAGTGAGTTTTCTTTTTTGTATTTTTATTTAAATAACTAGTGGCCCAGTGTACGAAATTCGTGCATGGAGGGGGGGTGTCCCTCAGCCCGGCCTGCACCCTTTCACAATCCGGGACCTCTTGCTCCTAACCGCTCGACTGCCTGCCTGATTGCCCCTAACCGCTTCTGCCTGCCAGCCTAATCACCCCCTAACTGCTCCCCTGCCGGCCTGATTGACGCCTAACTGCTCCCCTGCCGGCCTGATCACCCCCAACTGCCCTCCCCTGCCGCAACCCGCCTCCTCCGCGCCACACAGAACCACGGGACCCCCAAGCTGTGTGTGGCCATCTTGTGGAGACGTTGTACACAAGGGCCACCTAGGCTTTCATTAGTATAGATGTCTTTTTACTGATTTCAGAGAGGAAGGGAGAGGGAGAGAGAGATAGAAACATCAATCATTGATCGGCTGCCTCCTGCACGCCCCACACGGGATTGAGCCTGCAATCCGGGCATGTGCCTTGACTGGGAATCGAATTGTGACCTCTTCATTCATAGGTCGATGCTCAACCACTGAGCCACACTGGCCAGGCAGGGTGAGAATTATTTTTATGAAGTTAAACTATTCATATATTAGAAATGAATGAGCATATTAGAACACTGATGGTGCTTTCTTTGTTTTAGTTACCTAATTTTATGTAAACTTTTGTTAATACAAAACACTTATGAGCTCTATTAAAAAACGTTTTCTTTAGTCTGTTTCTTTCCATGCAGGATATGACACAGGGTTGGATGGCTAGTAGATACAGTAGGTCCTCGGGTTACATCGGAGATCCGTTCCTAAAGTGCGATGTAACGTGATTTTTTGCCGTAAGTCGGAACCCACCTACATAAGCACTTACGTCACTCACATGGAGCACATACACAGCAGTAATTAAGTGAAACAGTAAAAATAGTTTAAAAGAAAGATTCCTGACCTTTACTTGTGGTAAATAAATAATAAACATAAAGCACATATGTACATACGTCGAAATGACGGAACTTTTTTTAAAATAAATGGGAGATGGTGACATAACCACAAAACGATGTCCGTGGAGTCCGATGTAACCCGAGGACTGTCTGTACTTAATAAATATTTGATTGGTTCTTTGAATTGAAGGATTGCTCTACCCACCTGTGGGAGGGGAATAGTCTATTTATTTAATAAAATCTTTATTGTTGAAAGTATTACATCTGTCCCCTTTTTTCTCCCCTCAACCCTTTCTCCCCCGACCCTGCCCCAGGCCCTCACCACCCCACTGTATACATATATGCATGTATACAAATATGCATACAAGGTCTTTGGTTGATTACCTCCCACCCACCCTCCCTCCCCCACTTTTGAGGGGGATAGTCTTTAACTAAAGGTAAGCTGTGTGGTAGGCTCAACCCTATTTATGACATTGCTCTGCTGTGGAATAGCAGCATAATGCCTTATAGCACAGTGACTATCAATTTGCTTTCCACTTCAGAAATTTATATGAAGTCTTCTGAGGGCAAAAATACTAAATCATACTTAGTTTGTATCTGATGAATTGCCTTTTTACTTATTAAATCGAGATCTATTGTAACGTCATTTTTCTGTGTCTTTAGTTTTCAGAAGGCTAATTATGTGTCTTGGCTTTGATTTCTTTGGGTATATCCTGTTTAGGGTGTGCTCAACTTCTTGAACCTATAGGTTTATGTCTGTTGCCAAGTTTGGCAAGTTTTCAGCCATTACACTTCTTTGAGTATTTTTTCACCTCCGCCCTCTTTCTCCTTCCTTCCAGGACCACACTGACATGAATGTTGGTTTTTTGTTAGAGTCCCACAGGTCTCTAAAGCTCTGTTCGTTTGTTTTCTCTGTGTTGTTCAGGTTGGGTAATTTCTGTTGTTTGTTCTTCCAGTTCACTGGTTGTTTTCTCTGTCCTCTACATTCTGCTGTTGAGCCTATCCAATTAGCTTTTTATTTCATTTATTGTATTTTTTTCAGTTCACATTTCAGTTCTACTTGGTTTTTCTTTATAGTGTCATCTTTTAAAAACCGAGATCTGCTATTTGCTGAGGCTCTGTTTTCATTTGTTTCAAGCATGTTCCTAATGGTTTGTTGAAGCATTTTTGTCATGGTTTACTTTAAAATTTCCATCAGATAATTTTGTCATCTCTGTCATTTTGGTGTTAACATCTACTTGCCTTTTCATTCAGTTTGAGATCTTCCAGGTACTGGATACGATATGATTTTTGATAGAAACCTGGAATTTAAGAATTATGTTTTGAGATTGGATCTTATTTAAAACCTTCTGTTTTAACTGCCTTTTTTTTTTTTTTTAATACTCCTCGAGCAGGGGGTGTGGGGGAGGGACGCCACCTTGTTCCTGCCAGGTGGTGGTACAAATTCTCCACTCCGCCTCCATTGACATCTGAGGTGGGAGCTCCCCATGGCTGCCAGGTGGTGGGGAACTGAGGCTCCCACATGGTGGGGGGACCCTATTTCCGGTGGGCCATAGTGAAAGTCCTGACTCTTCAATAGGCTTCCCCTGACACACGCTGGCGGACATGTTGGGCTGCCTCAGAACAGTCTGGTGAGGATGGAAACCTAGGCTCCCCGCTTGGCCTTGGCCGAGGTGGGTGGGGTTGGGCCTGTTTTTTTCTGTGGTGTGCCAGGAGGAGAGCAGCTATTGTCTCACAAAAGTTTCCTGCCTTGCTAGGCTTCCCCTTTCCTGGTCTATAGCGAGAGCAGGCTTTTGTTGGCTTTAAAAAAAAATTGTCTGCATCCATAGGTATTTCTGGGTTGGCTATTTATGAGGCAACAAGAAAGCCCATAAAAGCTGGGGAACTCACTACCATGACCTTCCCTGGGTCTCAAGCTTTTCTAGCTGTTGACAACTTCCAGGGTCTTTAGGTTCATTTTTTAGGTAACGTTCAGGGTGTTTAGTTGTGCTTATTAAAACCGGAGGAACAGGGCAAAGTATATCTACTCTTACCTTCCAGGAAGCGTAAGTGTTTTAGAAACACTTTAGTTAGTAGAAATATCTTCAAGTATCAGTAGTGAATAGAAAAATAATTTTATTTTTATTTGTTTATTTATTTTTACTAACTCATTCACAGTGTTTTATGCCGAGGTTTAGTTGCAATCGCATATAATGAAATAATATTTGTTTTCTCTTTATTGCAGATTCTGATGCTCACAGTACCACCTCAAGTGCCTCCCCAGCTCAGTCTCCTTGTTACAGTAACCAGTCAGATGATGGCTCAGATACAGAGGTGGCTTCGGGCTCCAGCAGAACGCCAGTTTTTTCCTTTTTAGATCTCACGTACTGGAAAAGGTAAATGCGATAGAAAATACCTCACTAACCAACAAGCCTTCTTAATTACAGGCAACAGGTCCCCCCTTCCTTAGCAATTAAATGGCTGTTAGCACACATGCTTGGAGGTGGATTAAGCAAGAATTGAGCTGAGGGTTGGGATTTTGTGTTTTTTCCTATTTAAAATGACTTAAAATGAAAATCATGTTAGGGAACCTGAATTTTCCCTGTAATGGAGTAGACTTAGGTATTCATTCTGACCAATTCATTCACTGAAAAAAGTAAAAGGGCTTGAAATACATATTTTTAAAAATGGCATTGAAAAGTGGGCAAGTTAATAAGGAATAAATAGGTCAATACTAAGTAAATGTGGGACTCCTGAGTCAGGAAGATGATAGGCTAGAAAAGAGAAAAATATTCAAAGAGAAAAGTGGGTAAGGATTTTCTAGTTCACAGATTTAGGAAGACTAACAAATTAAAAGCAAATAACCAATTGTCTTATGAGTAAAGAAAATTTATCCATAGACACATTATAGTGAAACTATATAGAACATGAAAGACATGTTCTATATAGCAGAGAGAAAACAGATATTACTTTCAAAGGAACAACAAACACAAAGGGAGAGGACAGGGCTCTCCACATGAATGAAGGAAGCCGGAAAACAATAGGTTGTTTTCTTCAGTGGCCCAAGAGTTAATGACTCTCAAACTAGAATTGTATACATGTAGCAAAAATATCTTCTTTAAATAAGGGCATAAGACTTTTTGACTAGCAAAAAAAATTGAGAGTGGCTGCCGAGTTGACCCTCAATAATGAACATTCTGCAGCAGAGCAGGCAGAATAAAGAGACCCTATTTTGAAATATTGAGAAGGAAAATTAAAGACAGTAGCAAATATGGCTGGGCAGGTCAGTTGATTAGAGCATTGTCCTGGTATACCAAGGTTGCAGGTTCGATTCCTGGTCAGGGCACATACAAGAAGCAACCAATGAATGCATAAATAGTGGAACAGCCCTAGCCAGCATGGCTCAGTGTTTAAAGCAGCAGCCTTTGCATCAGAGGGTCATGGATTCGATTCCCCAGCACAGGGGTCCTCAAACTTTTTAAACAGGGGGCCAGTTCACTGTCCCTCAGACCGTTGGAGGGCCAGACTATAGTTTAAAAAAAACTATGAACAAATTCCTATGCGCACTGCACATATCTTATTTTGAAGTAAAAAAACAAAACGGGAACAAATACAATATTTGTATTTGCATGTGGCCCATGGGCCGTAGTTTGAGGACCCCTGCCCCAGCATTTCTGATCGCAGCCCCTCTCCCCCGAGTCCGGGTGTGTGGGGGAGGCAACCAATTAATGTGTCTCTGTCACGCCATGTTTCTCTCTCTTTCTCTCCCCCTCCCCCATCCTTTCCACTCTTAAAAAACCAATGGAGCCCTGGCCGGTTTGGCTCAGTGGACAGAGCATCGGCCTGTGGACTGAAGGATCCCGGGTTCGATTCCGGTCAAGGGCATGTACCTTGGTTGCGGGCACATCCCCAGTAGGGAGTGTGCAGGAGGCAGCTGATCAATGTTTCTCTCTCATCGATGTTTCTAACTATCTATCCCTCTCCCTTCCTCTCTGTAAAAAATCAATAAAAAATATATATTTTAAAAAACCAATGGAAAAAATAGACTCCTTGGGTGAGGATTAAAAAAAAAGTGAAAAAACAAATTGCTGTTTTTCTTTCCCTCTCTTTCCCTTCCTCTTTTTCTTTTTAAAAAAAGAAGAAGTAGCAAATACTTAGGTAAATTTCAACAAATGCTGATTACTTAAAATGACAATAGTTGTGGGATAAAGAAAAAGAATTACATGACAGCAATAGCATATAAGTCAAGGTAACAGAAGTGATAGCAGAAGTTAAAGTATGATAAGTGTCCTTTGCATTGTTGGAGGTAACAGAAGTTAAAAGTGTATAAATGTCCTTTGCATTACTGAGAATAAACGTAGTGAATAACTTTAGAACGTGAATAATTAAGTATATAACCACAAAAAATTAATAAAAATAAGTACAAAATATCCAGAGCAGAAAGGAAGGGCAGAGAATTTAATGATTGCAAAAACAAAAATAGAAAACCTACCTATAGTTGTAAATTAAAAAACCATGGTTTCAAGAAGAAAGTATAGCCCTAACCAGTTTGGCTCAATGGATAGAGCATCGGCCTGCAGACTGAAGGGTCCCAGGTTTGATTCCGGTCAAGGGCATGTACCTTGGTTGCGGGCACATCCCCAGTAGGGCGTGTACAGGAGGCAGCTGATCGATGTTTCTAACTCTCTATTCCTCTCCCTTCCTCTCTGTAAAAAATCAATAAAATATATTTTTTTAAAAAAAGAAGAAAGTATAATATAAAATAGAAAATCTTCATAACTAAAAAATAAATGAAAAATACTACAAATCAAAACAGGTGGTATAACATTAAAGAGGTAAAAAGAGCACCCTAGCTGGTTTGGTTTGGCTCAGTGGTTTGGTTTGGCTCAGTGGCCTGCAGACTGAAGGGTCCCAGATTTGATTCTGGTCAAGGGCACATGCCCGGGTTGCGGGCTCACTCCCCTATAGGAGGCATCCAGGAGGCAGCCGATCAATGATTCTCTCTCATCATTGATGTTTCTATCTTTCTCTCCCTTTCCCTTCCTCTCTGAAATCAATAAAAATATATTAAAAATAAAAGAAGGTAAAAAAAGAAAAGTTATCCTCCTAATGCTTTTTATAAATGAATGACTAAAAGCAAATGAAGTGATATATATCCAATTTAAAGGTTAATGAAACCCAATATAAGAAAAAATAAAAGCAAGGGAATCCTAAAGATAACAAGCAGAAATAAATGGAGTAGAAAGCCTATGGATAGGATCAATAAGGCTAAGAACTGGTTGCTGAAAACGACCTGACCAAAAAAATTACTAGAGATAATGCAGATCAAGAAAAAGAGACAGTATACATACGTATTTTAGCTAAGAAAAGGGAGATTTAGCTATAGCTAAAGCAGAAATTTAAAAGACAAAAAGACATTATAAACAACTACATGCCAATAAACTTGAACATTTATGTGAAGTATATACATTAGTAGAAAAAGACAGCTTACCAAAACTGTCTCAAGGAAAAATAAAAAACCTGACTAGCTCATAATAAGGAAATTGACTCGGTGGTTACAAGTTTTCCCTCAAACAATCCCATGCCCAGATACGCAAGTTCTCCCAAACACATCAGGAAAAATGATAGTGATCTTGCAACTGACTTTTCCAGATTACGGATAAAAGAGGGCATAGGCCCCAAGCATTCTATGAAGCTAACATAACTTTGACATCAAAACAGTATATCATGATCAGATTAGGTTATCCTAGAGATAGAAGATTGTTTTAAACATTAGAAAGTCAACTAATATAATTTGCCACACCAACAGTTTCTAAATGAGCAGAAAAAAAATGCCTATCATCTTAGTGATAAGTTGAAGGTCTTTGATAAATTTGAACATTCCTTAAAATAAAACTTAGCAAAATAGGAATCGAAGGGAACCACATTGACATTTTCAAGCAAAATTGAGCATATTCCCATTCTTATATCCTGATAACATAACCTAGAAAAAACCTTTAGATATATGCACTGATAATGTACAGCGTGTTTGTAACAAAAATCAGTCCCATCAAAAGGAGAATGGATAAGTTGTGGTATATTCACATGATGGAATACTGTACTAAGTTAAAATGAAATAAAGCTTTACCTAGCTATGTATGAACCTCAGTTAATGCTGAGCAAAAAAAAATTACAGCGTTCCGTGTGATTCCATATTTCTATATAAATACTATGCATAAAGACAGTGTGATCTAATTTTATATACAGGGTGTGGCAAAAGTAGGTTTACAGTTGTGAGGATGCATTATTGTATTATCTTCCATAACAACTGTAAACCTACTTGTCCCACCCTGTATATATCTGATTTTATATATGAGATAATTATATTTTATACACATAAAATATGCATATGTCTGAATGAGATAACTAAGCAATATGTTTAGAGATGCAAACACAGTAAAACCAGGAAGTATAAAAAGAACAAAGGAGTGCTAAACCTAAAATTAAGAAGGAAAGAATGAGGTAGGGTGGGAAGAGATTAGAGACAGGCAAACTGGGGGACTTCACAGGAAGTGATAATTTTTTTTCATTACAGTCTGTGAGGTATGGGTGTTATGTGTTGTCATTTTTTGAGTGCCGTTACGTATATATTTTATATCTACTAAATATTTAAATATAATAGAACTACCAGCTGTGTCAGCCTGGTTATGGTGGCTATTTTTCTTCAAGAGTTGGTGATTTTTGGAGGACACAGTTTACAAGTTTGGGAGCAGCCTTTGAAACTGACTGCTGTCTCCCAGTATGCCTTCTTTCCCCTTAATATCGGGTAAGATTCCAGTGTGGGATGTATGGGACCTGGGTACTTCCCATTACCTAGCCAGTGGGGTTTCTCTAGGAGCTCCCCCCCCCTTTAATGTATTTTTATTGATTTCAGAGAGGAAGGGAGAGGGAGAGAAACATAAATGATGAGAGAGAATCATTGATTGGCTGCTTCCTGCACGCCCCACGCTGGGGATGGATCCCCCCTGGGCATGGGTCCTGACGGGGGAATCAAACCGCGACCTCCTGGTTCATAGGTCGACACTCAACCATTGAACCACACTGGCCAGGCTTTGGGAGCCCTTTTTTGGAATGTGGAAGTAGACCCTTTGGATCATGTTGTACTAGCTATTGTGATGAGAGGTTTTTGTTTTGTATCCCTGTTCTTCTGCCTTATTAATATATTTCGTTCTCTCCATTTTTCTTTTAGACAGAAAATATGTTGTGGGATTATCTATAAAGGCCGCTTTGGGGAAGTCCTCATTGACACGCACCTCTTCAAGCCTTGCTGCAGCAACAAGAAGGCGGCTGCGGAGAAGCCGGAGGAGCCCGGCCCAGAGCCTCTGCCCATCTCCACCCAGGAGTGGTGACTGAGGTGTATGTAGAAGGGGAACAGGAAATGATTGAAATTTTAGGGGGAAAAATACCCAAAACACAGCAACAAAACGACCTTCCTGTTTTTCACTTGGATACCTGCTATTCTGCCAAAAGACAATTTCTAGAATAGTTCCGAATGGGTTATTTTTTCCTCCACTTCCACAAGTTCCACCAACTCTGAAGCCAGTGTCTAGCTTAAACAGACGTGTACATAATATTTAAGATGCTGAGTATTTCATAGGAAAGCTGAATGCTGCTGTAAAGTGCTCTTTAAGTCTTTTTCTTTTAAATCCCCTTCTCATGAATGAAACTAGGGGGACTTCAGGGGACAGAGATGGGATTTGTTGTATGATAAACGTACGTAGTTTTAGTCTTTCTATATTGAGAAGCAGTGGTTGGGGCATTTTTAAAGATGGCTGACTACACTTGTTTTCCTTCATGATAATGAATTTGTCATAAACCAGTAACCTGGACTTGCCCCTCGAGGTAGTTGTTAATAATTTTGAAATGTTAAGGTCTTGCCAAGGTTCTGAGGATTCAAACCTGTACTACTGAATATTAAGCAGGACAGAATAAGCTCTCTGGTACAAATACCTTGAAGGAGTCATTTCTAAATATACAAAGAGGTAACTGGACTGTATATGTTGTATCCTGTGTCACCTCCTTCATATTGCTATTTGATGAAGATTTTAATTTATATGAAACTTCTAAAGCAGAATCGAAGCTCCTCTTGGGGAAATGTCAAGTCTTCAGGATAAGCAATCTTAATATAGATAGTACCAAAGCTTTATTTTACCACATGGGAGAGAACACACTCTATGAAACATGTTCAGATATCTGAAAAACGTGCAGGCTTTCAGGATAGCATAAAAATAACAAAGGTTGATGCTTCTGGGGGCACGCTTCTCAGAGGGCTCGCCGAGTGTGTAAATAATTGACTTTGGCTCGTGTTGCTTACCGGTGACTTCATTGAAAATCTACACAATTCAGTTTTAGCTCTGGATTACTTCAGTTGACCTTTGTGAAGGTTTTATCTGTGTAGAGTGTTTGTTCAACTTGTTTTAATGTATGAGGGTTTTAGGGTCTCCCCCCACCACTATATTAAAGTAAAATGCTAGTAAAAGGAAAGAGGTGTGTGAATGCTGAGTGGGTTTGGCTTTTTGTAGTCAGGTTTTCTGAACATTGAGATTTTAGATGATAAATCCTGAACGTGGGGCCCCTCGGTTCTAAAATTTTTATGAAAAGCCTGTTACTTGAACTCAAACCCAAGTACTCTCATTGCCTCTTTTCTATCAATTCAGGAAGAATATTACCAGTTCACACTTTTTCAGAACGAGGGAGGATCATTTGCCGACCTTATAATAAAATGACTCGGTGCTTATTTTTAAAGCCTGATTTTAAAAATTGGATAGTATGAATAACAATAAGGAGTGAGCTACTTTTTATGGGCACCCTGTAGTTTTATAGTTCTTATTCTAAACTTAGAATTTTATATTCCTTTGGAAGAAACTACAAGCCACCATCTGTACAGACAACACCGTGGTTTGGGGCGGCGCTCCCACAGCCTCGAAGGTGCACTGCAAGTCTCAGCCATTCTCCTCTTCCTCCCGAGTTACTTTGGAATGGTCCTTTTTTTTATTTTTTTATTTTGTACATTTTGGCTACAGTGTCGGTGGTAGAATATACTATAATATGGATCATCTCTACTTCTGTATTTATTTATTTATTACTAGACCACAGTCAACCACAGTCTTCTTTTTCCCTTCCACCTCTCTTTGCCTGTAGGATGTACTGTATGTAGTCATGCACTTTGTATTAATATATTAGAAATCTACAAATCTGTTTTGTACTTTTTATACTGTTGAATACTTATACTCAAAACTTTTACTAGGTTATTGAATAAATTTAGTCTTATTAGAAAATAAAAGAGGCTGTTTTGTGGCTTTGTGTGTATAGTTGGTATGTAATAATACATTGGTTATGTTAGTTCCAAGTAGACAGTCTGGTGATTTGACGTTTTTATACCTTACAATGTGATCACCCCATTAATTCTAATAATCATCCATTACTGCAAACTTGACACAATGTTATTGACTATATTACCCTCACCTTTTCCACCCATCTCCCCACTCTCTCCCCTCTGGTAGCCATCCTTGTGGTCTCTATTTCTGAGGGTTGCCGGTTAGATTCCTGGTCAGGGCACATGCCCAGGTTTCAGAACTTACATTATCCACACTTCTATAACTTAATTGTTGCTTTATTTGTGTGTTTGGTTGATTTATTTTAGATTACACATGTAAGTAAAACCATATGGTGTTTGTCTTTTCTCTGACTTGCCTCACTTAGCATAATACCCTCTAGGTCCATTCATGTTGTTGCATATGGCAAGATTTTTAAAATATATATATTTTTATTGATTTCAGAGAGGAAGGGAGAGAGAGAGAGAGAGAAACATCAATGATGAGAGAGAATCACTGATCAGCTGCCTCCTACACGCCCCCTACCGGCGATCGAGCCTACTACCAGGCATGTGCCCTTGAGTGGAATCGAACCCGACGCTCTATCCACTGAGCCAAACCAGCTAGGGTGCATACGGCAAGATTTAACCCTTTTTTATTGCTGTGTGATATTGCACTTCTTTATCCATCCCTCCACTGTTTTAATGTTTTTGATGTGACTTTATTGTCTATGGGCATAGTGGGAGGCATCGTTGAGACTAGAGAAACTATACAATTGGATACAGGGAAAGGTGGATGTTGGCATTGGGTTCTCTAGTTCCTGGCCCTTATTAGCCATTTGAGTCACTGAATTCTGAGGGATCCAAATAGGTGCATCCCATATCAAAGTTGTGAAAACATCGTCTATGACCTGGGAAAAGTAGATCCTATGGGCCAAACGTTTTATACTCCAGTCAGAGTTTAAATTTGCTTTAGGATAGTCAGGTGGTTTTGCCAGCTATGGATCTAGTTACTATGAAGTTACTAAGTTAACCTAGGGTAGTGGAAAGATGACTTACCTATATTACCTATTGCTGTGTAATAAATTACCACACGTTCAGTGGTTTGAAGGACATTGATCTCAGTTTCTGTCCAGGCACAGTGTAGCTGGATCCTTTTCTTGGGGTCTCACAAGGCTACAGCAAGGTGTCAGCTGGGTTGCACTCCGATTAGGTGACTTGGGAATCGTCCACTTCCACACTCACTTGACACCTGCCATCTCCCAACATGGCCATTTTCTGCATGGAGCTAGCAGGTCCCCAGAGCTAGTCTGCTAGGGAGACCGTCTTCTGGGGTACAGACCACACAAGTGGAGGGAACTATGCATGAACGCCGAGAGGTGGGATGTGGGCATCGCAAGGAACACCTTAGAGCTGTGTCCGCCACGGCACCTCATTTTTTTAAACTGAATTACTTGAAATATAAGTGCTTTGTGTAGCAAGTAAAAAGAACACCCCTATGATCAAACACCTACTATGGGCAGGCAAGTTTAAACATTGTCTAAATAACCTTGCAAAGTAAAACAAAACAAAGCCTGTTTGCAGGTGAGTGGGGTGCAAGGAGGTCATGCAACTGAAATAAAGTCCGCTTTCCCAAAGCGCTTGCTCCAAACTGAACCCTGTCCCCATGGTAGCTGTGGTGGGCGCCGTCTTACCTGCCCTTGGGGGTGGTTACCTGGGTCTCTTCCGAAGGCTGACAATGAGAGGCAAGCTTTACCCTTGCCGAGAGGTTGGCCTTGACTCTAAGTCAGTTAATCAAATTTTGTTTCTTAATTTTTTTAAAAAAATATATTTTATTGATTTTTTACAGAGAGGAAGGGAGAGGGATAGAGAGTCAGAAACATCGATGAGAGAGAAACATCAACCAGTTGCCTCCTGCACACCCCCCACTGGGGATGTGCCTGCAACCAAGGTACATGCCCTTGACCGGAATCGAACCTGGGACCTTTCAGTCCGCAGGCTGACGCTCTATCCACTGAGCCAAACCGGTTACGGCTTGTTTCTTAATTTTGATGTTGAAAGTACCCTTTATAGACTGTCTGTGGAGGAAATAGTCTCCAGGGGGCTTAGTCTAAAAGTAAGTGGAGGTAGCCAGACTGACTGCTAGCTCTGCAGTGAGGAGGGGAAGGCCCCGGGGAGCCGCTCGATTCAGAGTCCCTAGGACAGTTTCCTGATGCTTCACATCTATCATTGTGCCTCACAACCATCCCGTGTGATGTTCCGTGAATGGGAAGGGAGGAGAAAGCCAAATTGGATCAAAGATAGATAATTTCACAGGCTCATGTTCTCAAAGACAGGACAGGATCTAAGGGTTCTAACAGTTTCTCGAGGGGTGGAGTTTGGTTACGCATTGTGTTGGAGAGAATGCTTCAGGTTTCAAATGTCTTGCATCCTGGTTAGAAACTGCGTATTGCATGTGGCGTAGGGGGGTCTTGGACATACTTAGTTGCAGGCTTCGGTGTAAAAGAGCTTAATCTTTCCGTTTAGAGAGACAGCAGATGTTGGCAAAGCCTGCCCGTGGTCTCCGTGTCTGAAAGGGAGGGGGTGTAATGGACTGTTTTAGAACTACATTCTCCACACTGCTATAACTTACATTAGCGTAACACTGTCCCGCTATTGGTTTTCTGTAACTGCAAGGAAGAGTGGTTGTTGTATGTTTATACTTTCAAAAGTTAAAGGCTCAAGCCCTGGCTGGTGTGGCTCGGTTGGTTGGACGTCGTCCTGTGCACCAAAGAGTTGCCGGTTCGATTCCTGGTCAGGGCACAAGCCCAGATTTCAGGCTCAATCCCCGGTAGGGAGCGGGCAGGAGGCGGCTAATCAGTGTTTTGCTTCGTATGGTTTCTCTTTCCCCTTCCCTTCCTCTATAAAAATCAATTAAAAACCAATCTTAAAAAAAAAATAAAGACTCAAAAATCTGAAGATTCTGTAGCAGGTCACTGGTAGAGTTAAAATAGGAACCTGAACAATTAGGTCTTTTTTTCTTTTCTTTTTTAAGGTAACAAGTGTATTCTTTGCCTCCAAC